TTTTGCCTTTCCCTTCCCGGCTGGGGCTGTTGGGAGTCGCTGCCGCCTGCCTTTCCCTTCCCGGCTGGGGCTGTTGGGAGTCGCCGCCGCCTGCCTTTCCCTTCCCGGCTGGGGCTGTTGGGAGTCGCTGCCGCCGGTGACTGCGGGGCGGGGGTCGTCCTGCGGGGACACCGGTGGGCGCGGAAAGAGGGGCGGGCGGGAGAAGCTCCTCTCCCTGCCCCGCCCCGGGGGGGGTCTTCCCCTTCTCCCGGTACAGGGAGCTCCGCGGCGCTGGGCGGGCGCCAAAGACGACGCTCGGGGCTCGGTCGGAACCATCCGGTGCGCCCGATCCAATGCTAGCTCAGCGGCTGTGCGCAGCTTCGCTCCAGCGGCGGCCTTCCAAGCCGTGGCCTTTCCCTTCCCGAGGCGACGCGGGACTGGGGTCGCGCTGGCGGCAGCGACTCCCAACAGCCCCAGCCGGGAAGGGAAAGGCAGGCGGCGGCGACTCCCAACAGCCCCAGCCGGGAAGGGAAAGACAAAAAGCACTTTGCCTTTCCCTTCCCGAGGCGGCGGGACTGGGGCCGCGCCGGCGGCAGCGACTCCCAACAGCCCCAGCCGGGAAGGGAAAGGCAAAAAGCGCTTTGCCTTTCCCTTCCTGAGGCGGCGGGACTGGGGCCGCTCCGGCGGCAGCGACTCCACACCATTTTTTTTTCAGAGGGGAATCTGACTCGAGTATAAGCCGAGGGGGATTTTTTCAGCACAAAAAATGGGCTGAAAAACTCGGCTTATACTCGAGTATATACGGTAATTATTAGCATTATTTTAAACAATAATATGTGTTAAAAATTAAACCAGCAGCCTAATTATGCTCAGTACTGAAAAACATTGACTGGAGGATCTTAATTGGACAATCCTTTTGCATAGTAAGAAATTAAATTATTTTTTAAAAAATCTACAGTAAATTTAAAGTGTAAATTTCCATGTTTACTATGGTTTAATACACATAGTATTACTCATTTCTACCTGTAGTGAAACAGCATTTTATGTTTCCTCTTAATGCAAATAAAGGGTTAATTGGCCACTTTTCAAAAGGCAGCCTTACAGTCAAAAGTACCCGGGGAAAAAAGATGTAGGATAAGAGAGAGAAAGTTGATAGGTTCAGAAAAAAGAGGAAAACAAAAAATGATACAGATACATACAGACACACAAAAATATATACATACATACTATAAAACAAACACAAAAAGATATTATGATACCTATTGCTAATCAAATATTAATAATCATGGAAAATAGAAGTGTCATTCACCTCTTTAAACAGAAACAAAGTATATTTTCTGTTTATGCAATGTTGCTGCTGATTATTAACTAAATAATTTTAATAACAAATAATTTTAATTATTATTAACCTGCCTCTAAATACATGAAATAAACCCTGATGTTCAACACATTAGCCAATCTGTAAGGCTTAATTTTCATGACAACTAGAATTTTATTGCAACACTTTAAAGCTGTCATTCATTCATGTTTTCCCCACCTGTAGGTAAATACACACTTGTTGATCTGCAAGACTATGCAACAAAGAATCAAGACCAACTAATAATGCACCTACAAAACACCCTGGAACCTGATCAATTTAATGCGCTGAAAAAGGAGCTGATTTGTAGAGTGCTGAATAAGGATTTTTCATTTACTGCTCAGAAATATTATGAATTGTTTAGAAACAGTGAACTGAGAGAATTTTTGAAAAACAATGGTAAACCAAAAAAAATACCTATGAAACTTCTTGAAATTCTGTTCTCTAAGAAAAAAAACAACCGTAAAAGAAAGGCCCAGGAACAAATGCAGGGAGAAGGCAACAATTTGAAAAAGAAGCAAGAAGAAAAAATAATCCCAATTCGTCCAATGGAACATAAATCTGGTAATGAAGATAATAATATGATAGAACAACCTTGTCTGGATGATAAAATTACACTTGGAACTGAAACTGAAAAAGTAATCCCAATTCGTCCCATAGAACATAAATCTGGTAATGAAGATAATAATGTGATAGAAGAAAGTTGGCTGGATGAAGATTCAAGAATGGCCTTTGAGAACTGGTATGAAAAAAAAAAATACAGGGAAAAAATCTCTTTCAATTACATTGGCATTCATGAGCACCAAGAATACCCCTGCTTCATAGCTGTGGATGTATTACAATTCAGATTGCCAGATGACCAGGATTATCGTATTCTCGCAATTCTGCAGGATAAAAGAGATTTTACTAATTCACAAAAGCTGAAAAAGGAGGCGGAATTTGCATTGCAATTTAACATGGCTGTTCTAGATGTTAAACTTTCTGAAGTTATCTCCCCTAATAGATGTCTTTCTGAGATAACAGCTAATAAATCCTTTGGTGAATCAATTTTTTTTTTGGAAAATATTGTGTCTAAAATTGTGTTGCCTGTTCTAGCACTGTTTAAGCAGGTAAAGTTAAATGCTTTCAAGAATGCTAATTTTAAAAAGCAAATCTTTCCATGAGAAGAAGTTGCAAGTGTAGCTTCAATATTCCACTGAAAATGTTAATTCATTTCTTGATTAAATTGTAAATGATAACTTGTGATTGGATACTTGGCTGAGGGAGAATTCATATTTCCTTGTTCTCCCCCCCCCCCCATTGTTTTTAGCTTCAAAAAGCAGAAGATGTGAAAGCAGCAGCCATTTTGATTTCCCTCTGTTAAGATAGGAAGTTCTGATCTCATTATGGATTACCACCCCTGCTTTTTTAAATATAATATTCGAAAAGCAGATTTGTGAAAAAAAAAATCAAATTTTCATTATAAAACCTTCCTTTTTCTGAATTATATATTCTGTCAACATATTTGAAATAATAAAAAAATATTCCATGAAAAATATATTTGGGAAACATTGCTGTAGAAGAAACTAACAATCCTTTATGCATTTACGCAGAATTTATTCTCAATGAATTTAGTGAAGCTTACTCTTTGTTAAAAGGCTAGAGATGTATGACTGACTGTGGGGTCCTTGGTGCCCTCTCAGTTTGCTTGCTTTTTTGCAGACATTTCATTATCTAGCTAGGGTAACATCCTCAATCCTAGAGGGGAATGGGGTCTTTTTACATATATATAGTTTACCCTTTTCAGCATTAGTGGGAGTGTTCTTGGTGTGTTTTTTTTATTAGGCTATTTTTTACTGTTTGTCTAAGCGGTAATTCTTTGATTGGGATATTGTTTACTGCTTGATTGTTGGTCTAATATTAATCTTGGTATTATGTTGTAATGACGAGGCAGTCGAGGTGTTTGATCATGATCAACTGAATCACGATGAACTTTATTGGAGTCTAGTCTTGCATTTATACACATTTTTAATTATCCTCCATCATTGGTTAACTTTTGTTACTGCTTAACTTTCGTTACTGTTTAGCACAGTAATCCATACAATTAATTATATCTAGTTAAAGTCTAACATATGTTTACTTCCTCTCTCTAATCCTCCTTTAGATTAGTGACTTTGTTTACCTGAGTTGTATTTGCTTGGAAACATTCTTTATCTGAGGTTTGCCATCCAAGATAAGAACATTCCTGCAATTACAACTCTATAGTATTAATCTGAATGTTAATTGCTGGCAAGGAGGCATTGTGGTCTTTTAGTTTGTTCGTTGTCTCTTCTGAATATAAAATACTATATTATTACCCTCCGTTTCTTTTCATATTTTCTTTCCTAAAACATAATTCTTTTTTTCATAAACAGGAATGTGGATATTTCATGTACTTTTAAAGAATTACATGGGAACCACTTCTACAAAATCTATTTGCAATGCATATATTTGTAACATTTTAAAAATTGAAAACTATACTTATTATGAGCCGCAGTGGTGCAGTGGTTAGAATGCAGTACTGTAAGCTACTTTTGCTGATTGCTGGCTGCCTGCAATTTGACAGATCGAATCTCACCAGGCTCAAGGTTGACCCATCCTTCCAAGGTCTGTAAAATGAGGACTGTAAAATGGGGGCAAAATGCTGACTCTGTAAACTGCTTAGAAAGGGCTGTAAAAGCACTGTGAAGTCATATATAAGTCGTACATAAGTGCTGTTGCTATTAAACTATGCAGCAATTTTTATCTTTTTAAAATACTGTATGTTCTTTGTACTATATATATGCTATTTTAAATTGTTCTTTCCTTATCAATAAAATATTAAGAAGACTTATTATATTGCCTAGTTGATTTGTGTGAATAATAGAAGAAGAGTCATCGGGGTTATACATTCAAGGGTAAGAAGAAAAAGGAACTTTGACAGCCTGTGAAATTTCTTTATTGCTTCTATGTGTTACGAGAGCTGGTTGGACTTGGGAGGTTGCCCTTTCTGATATATACTCGACCAGGTTTGTCACCAGCCAAGGTTCCAGGGAAGGGGAGGAGAGGTAGGAGTTGTTATCCAGGACTTTCTGGCAGTTGTCAGGGGTGCTGCTCCACAAGTTGCCAGTTGTAATACCCTATTTTTGAAGTTAGGTTCATGGGAGGAGTTGGGTTTGTTGCCCTTGTGCCATCCTCCCAGCTGCATAGCAAAGTTCCCTGCCTGAACTGGGTTGGCTGTGGAGTTCCCAGATTCATGATTTTGGGAGATCTCAACTTTCAATCTCTGGTTCAGACTTCCAAAGGGGCTTGGGTGGCCATGGGTCTCTCCCAAGTCATCCCAACTCAGAAAGTGATGTCATTCCAGCCTTGGTTTTCTTGGAGTAATGGCAATGTCATCTGAGGGAGAGTTTTCTTAGCTCCTCTGTTATGGTCAGATCCCGCCTGGGTGACCTTGATGCTCTCTTTTGCTTCTCTCTCTCTCTCTCTCTCTCTCTCACACACACACACACACACACACACACACAGAAGCTGGACACATTGGATTGGTCCATCCTTTGTGACTGATGGACCCAATCGTTTTTTTTTTTTTGTGGATGTGAGGGCCTAAGTGGAGAACAATAGAAACCTGGTAAGATGTAGTGGTTGTGAGTAGGGCATACCTCTGCATCTGGGAGCTTTCCGTCTTTAGTCTTGGATAGGGAAAACCAATCCAGTCAAACCTGGAGGTCTTGTTAGAATTACGACTCCTATTTGAAGAACAGGTGGCAGATGAGACATGCTCAATTATATGTTGTGCACTAGTTACGCTGTATCCTGAGTAGGGAGGTTGTCTATTTGGTCATTCACACCCTAGCCATCTCCTTTTTGGACTGTCACAATGCATTCTATGTGGGGCTGTCCTTAAAAAGTATCCGGAAGCTTCAGCTGGTACAGAATGCGACTGCACAGGAAACTTTGGTACATGTAATCTTCTGCATGAACTGCGTTGGATCCCAATCTGCTTCCAGCTCCACTTCAAGGTGTTGATTATGACTTTTAAAGCCCTACATGGCATGGGACTAGGTTACCTATAGAACTGTCTGCATCCCTTTAGATCAGCCCATCCCAGCCAAACAGACAGGGAAGATGTTGCAGACCCATTTGGCCAACGAATTCCAATTATTGGGGTCCAGAAAAGGAGCCTTCTCTACTGTTACCCCACCCTGTGGGACACTTCCCCAGAGCTGAAGCGGACTCCCTGCTCTCTTGGCCTTTTGTAAAAGATACAAATATGGTTTTGCAACCTTGCTTGGGTACGCAAAGTAGCATGTGGGCTGGTTAGTGCCCTGAAAAGTCCCCCTCTGTTCTTAATTAATTTTTAACATTCCTCATGTCTCTTAAATTTTATATATTTTATGCTTTTAATATTTGACTGTACAACCACCCTCTCTGGGAGGGAGATGAGCAGTTCTTAAATATTATAAATAAACAAATAAAGTACAATTCACCTGTTTAATGTGTGATACTGTCAACCCTTAAAACGGCGAGCCTCCAGTGGACTTTGTCAGGGTTGCCATTTGGGGGGAAGGTGTTGTAACCTGCCAGCTGCCAGCGGAGCTGGTGGCAGACTTGGACAGTGAGAAGGTTGGGGGGGAACTTGGGCCAGTCCTGGAGTCTGGGGAAGGCTCTGATGGGTGCTCTGTGTCGGAGACAGAGATGGGGCCACGGCCACCCCACATTTATCAGATGCCTTCAGAGTCAGAGATAGGTGGGGAAGAAGAACAACTGGAGCCTGTTCCAGATGCACGTATGTGCAGAGCTGTAAGGAGAAGGGAACAACTAGCGAATAAGGAACAACTTGGAAGAAAAGGCACAAGTGAATGCCGAATGGCCCCTCCCATAGGAAATAAATAGGAGCAAAAGGGGAGGGGTGTTTGCAGGAGACAATTAGTTCATTTATTATTGTGAAAATTTGTTTATCTGAGTTCGTGTCTCCTTGCCAAGTATTTCCTTTTACAGCATTGCGACTGGAAATTCTTGGCCTGGCAACTATCCAAGGACTGATAAAGTCTGTTGTTGCACTTAAACCTGAGAAGGATTAATACCAGGACTTTTTTGGATATGAATTCACATTAACCAAATAAAAAGGGGGTGGATGGGACAAGGAGTCTTATTTCATGATTCTGTTCTGCCTGGGTCAGAACAGAAAGATAATGGGAATGTTGGGAACTCATCCAATTCATCATTGTCCCGAGTATGACTGAATCGGTGATATTGGGATTACCGTGGTTGGAAAAGGGGGGGTCCAACTATTTGGTGGGAAGGCAGAGGTCGGTACTTGAGGATTGAGCAATACATCAGATGCTACGTAAACTACCAACAAACCAATTGGACTGACCTCCTACCCTTCGCAGAAGTAGCATACAACAACAAAGTGCACAGCAGCACAGGGTTCACCCGCTTCAAAGTGGCCAATGGGATAGAGTTTGTCCCCATTCCCAAGTACCCTCAGGAGTCCCCCTCATCTGTTAGCCTGACTGAATGGGTGCACAACATGCAAAGGTATGTGAGAAAATGAGAGTAGCATTAAGGAAGGTGGCAGAGATCCAAAAGGTCCAGGCCAACAAGAAGTCCCAGATCCCATTCCGGATTGGTGAGAAGGTGTACCTCTCCACAAATACCTATGTCTAAAGGTGCCTTGCCATAAATTAGCCCCTAAATTCCTGGGTCCATTTCCCATAGTCCGTGTAATCAACCCAGTTACAGTAGAACTGAAGCTCCCTTGTCTATTAGGGAGAATACACCTGGTATTCCACAGTAGTCTGTTGAGGCATGTAGAGGCCTTGGAAGTACAAGGTCCCCCGAAGCATGAACTTGGGGCCATTCAAGTGGGGCGGAGCCTCACTACGAGGTTGAGCGGATCCTAGATTCTTGCATTCATAGGGGGGCCCTACAATACTGGTACAATGGAAGAGGTATCCCCTGTCAGAGGCATCTTGGATGAAGAATTGGGAGGTGAAGGTTGCACAGTTGGTGAGACAGTTCCACCAGGAACCCTCAAAAACCTGGTGGGAGTGCATGGGACCCCCCCACTCTCAATAGGCAACTTATTGTGGTCTTTGCTTATCTTCCAGATAACAGTGACAGATATATTATAAACAAACCACACTAAAAGATGCAGTTTGAATAAAAACATATACAGACATTAAAATAAGAGTAGAAGTAAAAAATATTTCTAATGTGCTTTCTTGATCTTTCCCAGTTCAGTGGTGTTGAATTTCCCATTTCTGCTCTGATAAGTTACTTTGGATTCTGGTTTGCTGTTTATTAAGGGTGGAAGAACTGCCAGTCAGTTAGTGCACAAATGGCTTCCCAGATTATTGCTCTCTAACCATTGGATTTAAGAAATGTTTGCCCCTAGAATACATCATTCATTCATTCAAATTTATTAGCTGCCCAGCTCCAATGGTAGAAAAAGTATGCAATTCATAAAAACAGGTAAAA